TTTGCTTGCTAGAAGCTTGCTATGTCTCTGAATCGATGTTAACGATTTAGTTCCAGCTATTTTCTCTGATTCTTCGTGTGTCAATTTCAACACTTTCAGTTTGTTTACGATCGTTTTATCCCCTTTTTCTATGATTGTTGGCGTCATTCAGGTCTTGGCAGGGTCGCCACTTTGTCGGAAATGTTTCTTCTGACAATATACTTACAAGTTGATTTCAGTCCTAAAACAAACAATGGGTTTTAATCGGCTAAACTCACTGATACAGATGACAGAACTCGATTGATCTCACTCACCATGTGCTCTTCTCAACACGGCACATCCCATAATGTTTTGAAAACAATTCCCAGTCCCAACCGTGCGTGGGGTGGTGACGCCTGACTAATCTTACAACTTTCACTTAAACCAAGTCTAAAGTGATATGATTACATTAGCATAACTCGAATCTCGACAAAAAAGTAAATGAATGGAAGAGGAAAGGACCAAACATACAGTCCATAGGTTTACGGACAGAATAACCTTTTTTGAAGATTTAAGTGACAAGCACTGACCATTATAATATCTCCCTCTAAATAGTGAACTTTGATGTTGCAGAAACATTAATAAAAATAAATTTAAATAACCCGTCAATGTGGTTGTCTGAGATTCATCGGTGTTCTCAGTAGGATTTCAAGAGGGCATCCACCCCAACTTAAGCAGATGGCTGTGACATGAGTACAAACTAAGAAGAGAAGAGAAACTGGAATGCAAAATAGATGGCTATAAATCCTAAGGTAGGTGGTGGTTAATAACAGGGTCCTGCCTTCTAATGAGAACCCTGATTCATAGCACTCTTTATACTTAGTGAACAGAAATAATTATATTATCAAGAAACTAGACGTACACTATCTTCACTTTCCTCGCCACTTGTTTCATTACCCCTGGTGATGGCTTGAATTTCTTTTGGCTTAAGCAAATGGTAAAATCTATGATGAACTGGTGGGACATAAGACAGGAGCTGCATCAAATCATCAAACTTTGCCTTTGAGATTTCACAGGCAGCTTCATAAAGAGATGGTAACTGAACCTGTTTAAGATCTACTGGGCACCCTCTTCCTCTCTTTTGGAAATCAACCGTTTTCCAAGCCTCCATTTCACTGAGCGAATGCTTGTACGTCATTTGCCATGGATGCTCTCTATGGAATTTCATGCTCTGTATTTTCAACCATGAAACCTTCTCACCATCTGTGTTAGTCTTTCTATTAACCGTGTGCACTCTCACTTCTTGAAAAGATTCGAAATCACTTTGTTTCATATCCTTTACCACAAATGGTTTGTGTCTTCTGCCTGTTCTCACAAGTTCATACTATTGTTGTAGAACATAGACTGTTTGTACTTGTCTTCTCCTTTGTTCAATGCTACCAAGGTCTCGATCATTAGGCAGAAAAGAATGCCCACTGTACATGAACTTGTGGACCACACATTCCACTAGTTCACAGTTAATACAATAAATCCAGAATTATGCAACATTGACATTTCTATTCTGCCCACCACCTGTATCTGAAAATGCAATAATATGCTTAACATCCCCACTTTTTTCTTCCTAGTTGTATCTCAAGAGGCAAGAGGCAACATCTTCTGAACCCCTTCCTCCGTCAGTCTCAGGTTACATATGTGTTTTGAGTCCGATAATTAACTCCAACAGCCTTCAGTTTAGGTAAGCGAATTTATTGAACATTGCCCTTTTGCCCGACGCCATAAGCGAGAATCAGTACTATTACATTGTGTCGGTCACGCAAATGAGAATCACATCTCGAGTTACAGTAACTTAAACCCCTATCGTAACAATATGCATGAAGCTTTTCCCTGTTGCCACTTCATTGACCCCAGGTTGTACACTGAAAGTTGACGTTTTTAAAATACAACGTTCGTGCTCAAATATGGCATTGGCAACACTTGTTGCCAATCAAAGGAAATTAAAGAGATACTTGGGTCTTATGTTGCAAGTTCTTGGTCTGATTTCAGGTTGTTGTACCCGGATTCAGCTTTACACTGGTGTAAATCAAGCTGAACAGTCAGTTCCCTATGCTTTTGCTCATCAGTTTCAGTTTTTAGGCTTGTCTGTAATAAGTCACACCTGTTACAGGTATCACTCTTGGGGCTTCCAAATGATAGATTGAATTTTGTGTTAAATATTTCACGGTAGACATTTTCCTTCACTGGGGTTCGTGATTCTGATTTGCATTTCTCCATGTACAAATCATACATTTTCTTTATGGTGAGATCTGATGAAAGATATCTTCGGTTGGGATTATCTTTACGACAATAATGACTTGACTCAGTTGGGAAGCTCTGAATGTCAACTCGCACAAACTGCACATCCTCTTCAGGGGTTTTGTTTTTAGGCTGATGTCTACCCCTTTGATCTGTTTGTGGAGATCCCACACTTTGCATTTTCGATACAGCACGAGAAAGCCTGCCATTAGATATAGCATAAATGGCCAAGAAAGCCTTTTTGCATACCCAAGTAGACATTCCGTTGTCGTTTATGTGATATTGACGAGAGTAATTTCTTCGTGAGTTCAAAGAAGTCTAGCCTTTCTTTGCATACCTTCGCTTTACAGACGTGACTTTTACACTTTCACATAAGAAGGCATTCTGTCCAATCTCCAAGCTCCCAAAAACCTTCGAAAACATTTTCATGTCGTTCTTGTGTTACTCTTTCAAAGCATTTCAGTGGGCAGCGACAGTCTTTACCCAGTTGTTTTGCTGCAAATGTACATTTCTCGCCTGACTTTGATACTGTTTCATATTCCTTACCTCTGTTACGAAGACTTTTCCGTTTGTTTTTCTTCCAGTCTTCAGGATTTCGTTTTCTCTTGCGGGAATTGCCGCTCGATGATTGCTCACTTCTGTCCGCCATTTTGTTGATAGCACATGGTACTGCCTAAGTCTGAGCAAACGGGAAATGGTCAGCAGTATAAGGCTTAGCCCATTGTCTCACAAAGAGCTCTGACGAAAGTCACTGTGGTCCAATGTTCAGAGGGGACTAAAGAATCTGCCATTTCCTTTCAGGGTTACACCACTTTCCCACCAAAAAGATGGTCCAAATTTAGATTGAAAACAACAATAACATCGAATATGAAATTTTTGTGGGTTAGCCCGATATGGTTCTGAACCCCTCATTTGATCCCTTCAGCACAATGTGGCAGTACTTGCAAGTTGACACAACAAGGTAATCGTAAAGTTGTATAAAATTTAGTTTAGGAAGCTGTCGCAAATCAGTGGACCATCCAAGAGCATAGATTCGTCATAAAGTTTCATTGTACTCGAAGTCACCTCTAGAATCCTGGTCATTCTGAGCACTATTATTGGCATTTTGCTGTTGATTCGCGGCCGGTGGTAATACGTTTTGCATGAGTATTGCGTAGACTTTTAACACCAAGTCCACTTTCGTACCGCCCGTCGTTTCCGAATTTGAATGCAAAATCTCTTTCAAATCCTTTGCTTTTAACTTCTGGATATCCTCTAGTGCTAAAATCTGCACATCCTTGTGAACTAGAACCATTTTCGAAGCGATTAAATGTGGAAAGCCTTCCCTGATCAGCTGTATACACTGTATTTGTATTTCGCGGGTCACCGGCAACCTCGCTATCATCTTTACGCGGTTACTATTCCAACATGACGTCGGGAACTGTAAAAAGGGCTATTAGTTAAATGTGTTCTTATCTCTTTTAATCAATAATATGAGCCATATGCGAGCAGCAACAGTAGAATCTATCTGTAGAGTAATTTTGAAATTTATCAGATAAGAAAAAACTGCCAAACTTTAAAGTGCACCTAACCCCCCAATTTTTTTTTTACTAAAAAGAATGTACTTGTTATTTGAAATACTTCTGCGAACAAATTTTGGATTTGGTTAAATCCTTGATTTTCTGTGTCCTGACGAAATCTTGAAAATAGCCCCAAAACACTGCCATTTTGTTTCATCAGCAAGTTTAAGGAGAATGGGTCCAGTGGCTGTTGTGACATCTACCCAGGAAGGTTGAATATCTCACATCCTCTCCTTTCCTTCAGGGTGGTACAATACAGATTTGAAAAGTGTGCAGAAATGCCTTTGAGAAGTGCTATTGGCTGTTGCAGCATTATCCCAGATCTAAAAAAAGATATACTGTACAATTTACTGGTGATGGTTGGTCAAAGCTACAATAAAGACGTAAACGATGGTTAATTTTGTGAAACCGAAACAAGCGAACTGAGTCTGAGAACCATTGAAGGAGTCTCACTGGAATTTGTTCCACAGACTTTTGAACGCTATTTTCAAAATTTTCTGCCTAAAGCCAACCAGCAATTTGTTGAAATACTACAGAGTACCTATATCTTCCATCCCACAGTGTTTATAACATCGCCGGTAAGGTTGTGATCAATCAAGAAGTGTTACTACCAAGTATAGTGATATGTAAATAGGTCGCAACTGTACGCCGCCAACCAATGCTTATTTCTCTTTCGATTTAGATAAAAGTTGAAGAACAATCCTTTAGAATTACATGATAACAAAATCGTTACACTCACAGAGTTTTTCTATGGTTTGGAAATAAGCAGTGTAACAAACATTCTATGCAACAGTGGCAAAAGTCTTAACGTAACATTATTATTTGCGGGCTGCTTAGGGAATACATCCTTGTTGCTTATCTGACGAATTTCACTGGAAACTATGAAAAAAATTTACACTGGTTTTTTGGAGCTACGACTTAAAACGTGACAATGTGAAATTGGTAATTGTATGAAATGTTTCCTTCCACCTGCTTTCCGCAGCTTCAAAAACACAGTCCAAACAATTCTACAGGAGTCTTGTGTTTAGGTGACAAAATTACCATCCAAAGCAGTTCTTGAGTTTTCTCTCCTGCTTTTCGTTTGCCTAGTCCTCCACTTCTTATCTAGCTTTCCATTCCTAATATACAAGCAGCTTGTCTGCAAAGAAGTCTTCCTGGTCGTTGCTTGAAATATTACAAATTGTTCTCAAAGCTCTAAGCAGTGAGTTCACAGTTGTTGAATGTGCTTGATCAAAGTTTATTTCGGTTTCTTCTGAATCAAAACCCAACTCTGACTCCAGTGATGAAAAATAAATGATTCTGAAACAAAACTTGGATGCTTTAGTCCCAAAATATATTGGAATGATTAGTTTCGTTTTCCATTTTCTTGAGCAAATACAGAGAGCTTACTGAGGTGCTATTGTGTTTGGTTCCTGGGTAGACATTATCAGCAACCGCTGCCCCAGACTCCCTAAAATGCAGTCGTGTAACACTTCAGGAGCAACTTTGAAAGGGCATAGAAAATCGAGGATTCAACCAAATTCAAAAATCTTTCTGCCCAAATGCTTTGAATAACAGGTGGATTCGTTTTAGTGGAAAAAAAAA